AGCAACATTTAATGCAGAACGATTCCCACCAGTCGACCCGGCGAGTATCACGTGATATAGGAGTTGTCACTGGGATAGTGCAATGGAATGAGATCTTCACGATCAGCAGTACAGACATCATGTTGGTCTCAGGTTCGGACGAAGACCCCTTGTTCGACGGTGGAGCTTGTACACACGTGGCCCCCAAAGAGTATGCGAGGCACGTGGAGCTCACAAGCCTCGCCCCAGTGCCAGAGTTGTAGCTTCAAGAAGTATTTTCGCTCCCCCCCTTACTTTTGCTCCGAATGAAAAACAATCCCGTGGGTGATTTTAGTGGAATGATATTGTTAGCACCGCGCAAACAACAAAAAAACACCATCCGCCCACCCCAAGCTCGTTTTCAAAATCTGGTTTTCGCTTTGGCGCCGCGCACACTCACTGAAACAGTTGCACGAGTTTCGCGGATTGAGGGCGACTCGGTTTCAAATCTAGGTCTCGCCTCAGCGCCGCCCGCCTTCGCTTTCCTAGATGTGCATGGGTTTCACGGATTCATTTTTTTTGGGGGGGGGAGTTCTCTTCAGCTAGCTCTGACCTTAGCGCCGCGCGCGCTCGCGTTAAACAATTGCAGGGGTTTCACGGATTGAGGGCGGCTCGGTTTCAACATCTAACTCTCGCCTCAACGCCGCGTATATTCGTATTCACAAAGGTGCACGAGTTTCGCGGCTTGAAGGTGTCGGTTTTTTGTCTTATGAAATATAGCTCTCGCCTAAGTGCCGCGCGCACTCGCTGCAAACATTTGCATGAATTTCACGGGTTGAAGGCGGCTCGGTTTCAAAATGTAGCTCCCGCCTCAACGCAGCGCACATTCGTATTTGAAAACGTGCTCGACTTTCACAGATTGAAGGCGGTTCGGTTTCAAAATCTAACTCTCGCCGTGGCGCCGCGTACCGTTCTTGTTGTAAAAAAACAAAAGTGCACGGGTTTCACGGATTGAACGAGGTTCGGTTTCAAAATCTAGCTCTCGCTTCATCGGCGCGCGCATTCGCCTTCTGAAAAGTGCACGACGGACAGAAGGCGGCTCGATTTCAAAATCTAGCTCTCCTTAGCGCCGCGCACACTCGTTATTACAACTAGCACCAATTTCACGGATTAAAGGCGGCCCGGATTCAAGAGAAATGGCTCTCGCCTCAGCAACGCGCATTTTCGCGATCAAACTTTGCACGAACTTCACGGATTGAGGGCGGTTCGGTTTCAAAATCTAACTCTCGCCTTAGCGCCGCGCGCACTCGTTATTACAACTAGCACCAATTTCCTGGATTGAAGGCGGCTCGGATTCAAGTAAAATGGCTCTCGCCTCAGCGACGCGCACATTCGCTATCAAACTTTGCACGATTTTCACGGGGTGAAGGCGGTTCGGTTTAAAAATCGTTCTCTCGCCTCAGCGCCGCGCACATCGTTTTTTTGGGTTTGTTGCCGTTTCTCTCTCTCTCTCTCTCTTTCTCTCTCTCTCTCTCTTTTTTTTTTTTTTTTTTTTTTTTTTTTTTTTTTTGTTTTTTTTGTTTTTTTTTGTTTTTTTTTCTTTCTTTCTTTTATAATGTGCACGAGTTTCACGGATTGAAGGCGGCTCGGTTTCAACTGTGCGCGACTTTCACGGATTGACTGCGGCCCGGTTCAAAAATCTAACTCTCGCCTTAGCGCCGCGCGCATTCGCTTTTGAAATTTATCGCGAGTTTCACGGATTGCGGGGGGTTTGGTCTCAAAATGTGGCTCTCGCCTTAGCGCCGCGCGCATCCGCCATGAACGCGTGCGCGAGTTGCACTGATTGAGGGCGGCTCGGTTTGAAAATGTGGCTTCCCCCTTAGCGCCGTTATATGCATGTGTATGACTAAAGGGCAGGTTTTAATACATATGATTTTTTAAAATATAGGATTTTTAAAACATGATTATGTTATGAATAAATTAATGCATGAACTCATCCTTGTATTTATTACCCAACCCTTGATTCTTGATACATGGTCCGCGCGCGGAGCATGTATTAAAACAGGCGCTGTGTACGGCTGAGCGCTGCAAGCCTTCCCCCTGCCCCCGTTCTCCTCCTCCAAGTCCTCCTCCTTCTCCCCGCTCTCCCCCCCTCCTCTTCCCCCCCCCTCTCCCTTCTCCTGGTTGCGTCGCTGACAGTGTTGCGCTGAATTCATTGAAGGCGTCTTGCGCGCTTCCTGAGAGCATTCTTGCAAACATAAATCAAATCTGATCTCGCGGTGGCCCGGCCTCGCCACTCAGCGCCTCTGTGATCTGACGCCGCCGCTGACGGATCGCTCTCCCACGAGCGCTCACAGATGTTGCGGTCGCCAGGGTTAAGCCTTTTCGGGCGCCCGGTGCCTGGGGGCATGAGCTGCTGACCCAGCTCTCTTCATCTCAGTCCCAGGGGCGTCGAGGTGAGGAATCTCGAGCGGCGTCTCAGTGCTGGCAGCATCAGGGTGCTGCTGCGCGCCGGCGCGAAACTGATCTGAAACCGCCAGTTTTGCATCTCCTTCTCCCGCGTGTGCTCGCTGATGCTGTGGTCGTCTGGGCCTGGCGTTTTTGGGCACCTGGCGCCTGGGGCCAATAGCTGCTGGTAGTGCTTATTCTTTTCGCCGCGCGCGAGCCGGTATTGCGGTGGATCTCCCCCCGGGCCCAATTCTCGTCGGTCTTGGGGGCGCCGGGCCGACAGACCTTGAGCGGCGTTTCAGTGCTGGAAGCGCGCGGGTGCCGCGGCGCGCTGAATCCCCAACTGGGCCAAGGCATGCTGACTGGCACCTGTTTCATCTCAATGCCTGGCGGGGCCTGCGCATGCTTGGCTCGCGCCGGTGCTGATTCAGACGCCAAGTCTGACGCGGCGCGCGCAATGAAATCCTCCTTTCTCCACTTCCCCAGAACCGTGGGCCTGTCGAGAGCCCAAAGCTTCTTTTCTCTTTCTGCCCCACGCACCCGCCTTTTGTGATTCTTTTTGTCACCCTTAATATGGAAAATTAATTTTCGTCGGCCGTCCTAAAGGTGTGGCCCGTCAGGGGGGCGCGCCCGCCCCGCGCGGGGCGATGTCTCTAGCTCCGCGGAACCGCGAACAGACATGTCCCCGCCCGCGAGGAATCGCAAAGAGCGCGGGAAGATAACCGATTTCCGCCACCCGACGAAGCGGTGTAAATATCGAGGACATTGTACATAAGAAGAAGACTAATAACATAAGTGTACCTAGAAGTCATAATAGTAGTAGTGGTAGTAGTAGTAGTAGTAGTAGTAGCAGTAGTAGTAGTAGCAGTAGTAATAGTAGTAGTAGTAGTAGTAGAAGTAGTAGTAGTAGTAGTAGTAGTAGTAGTAGTAGTAGTCGTAGTGGTGGTGGTAGTAGTAGTCGTAGTAGTAGTAGTAGTAGTCGTAGTAGTAGTAGTAGTAGTAGTAGTAGTAGTAGTAGTAGTAGTCGTAGTCGTAGTCGTAGTCGTAGTAGTAGTAGTAGTAGTAGTAGTAGTAGTAGTAGTAGTAGTAGTAGTAGTAGTAGTAGTAGTAGTAGTAGTAGTAGTAGTAGTAGTAGTAGTAGTAGTAGTAGTAGTAGTATTATTATTATTAGTAGTAGTAGTAGTCATAGTAGTAGTAGTCGTAGTAGTAGTCGTAGTCGTAGTAGTAGTAGTAGTAGTAGTAGTAGTAGTAGTAGTCGTAGTAGTAGTAGTAGTAGTAGTAGTAGTAGTAGTAGTAGTAGTAGTAGTAGTAGTAGTAGTAGTAGTAGTAGTAGTAGTAGTAGTAGTCGTAATCATAATAGCAAGTGTGATCAAATATGTCATGCCATCGTAGTAATGTAATGCTGGTGGCTTATGTATGATTTCGGTAGACAGATTCATACTACTGTCAGTAGTAGCGCTGGTCTTAAGCGGCGCAACATTGGAATCCTTCGAGAGGAGCTTGAATCCGAACATTCCTGTCTCCCTTTTTGAATTGCGCCCGCCCTATGCGATTCTTAGTTGCACCCTTAATGGGAAATTGCTTTCCGTCAGCCGCCCTAAGGGGATGGCGGTCCATCCTGGGGCGTTGCGCCCGCCCCGCGCGGAGCGATCTCTGGTGCCGCGGAACCGCGGAAATAAATATTCCCGCCTGCGAGACGTTGTGAGAGCGCGGAAAGATCATCGACTTCCGCCATCTGACGAAGCGATGTTAGTATTTCTAATCAATATAACACTAATAAGGATAACACAACACATATTTTTAAAAAGTGATAGTAGTAGTAATCAAGTCCTGGGGTTGATGTTGTACTCCCGGGGCCCGAAAACGGGCCCCTTGGAGCCGAAAACTGCGAACAAATTCTCGAACTCCGAACCCCGAATCTCTACCAAAAACCTACGAACAATTTCAAGAAGAACCGACGGCGACGACGACGCCCACGATGACGACGACGGCAAGGGGCAAGGCGTGGATCGTCGCCCCCCCGAAACAAATGTTCCCGGAGGTCCCTCCGGGAACATCTCCCGGAACCGCCCAAGCCCGAGAGGTTTGCGCGACGGCGTCTGCGTAGCGCGGCGTGAACGCAACTTGACGGAGGGGGCGGGGGTGGCGCTCGTGTTGGGGCCTCTTGAGGTCTTTTGGGGGCCTCTTGGGGACTGGGGGCCTCCTTGGCGCGTCTTGGGACTCTCTCGGGGCCTTCTGGGAAGCTTTCAGGGCGGGAAGATTAAATTTTGCCTTTTTGTTCCCCTCGTGGGCCCCTCTGGAAGCCTTCTCGAGGCCCTCTTGGGCTTTCTAGGGCCCTCTGGGGCGCCTCTTGGGCTGTCTTGGGGCTGTCCAGGGTCCTCCTCCTGCTCCTGCTCCTCCTCCTCCTCCTCCTCCTCCTCCTCCTCCTCCTCCTCCTCCTCCTCCTCCTCCTCCTCCTCCTCCCCCCTCCTCCCCCCCCCCCTCCCCCTCCCCCCCCTCCCCCTCCCCCTCCCCCTCCCTCTTCGCTGCCCCTCCCTCTTCGCTGCCCCACGGCCCAATCCCGAGGCGCCTGGGGAGCGCACGGGAGGACTGTCTCAAGCTGGCGGCTGGAAGAGTCGGACCTGTCGGGCGTGAGCTGGGGTGAGGCGGGCCCTGGGGTCGAGGGCAGGGAGGAGGCGGACTGAGGAAGGAGAGGAGCGAGGCTTGAACGAGGAGGGATGGGGGAGGAGGACTGCTGGATGATGGAGGATGAGGGATACCTCGGGGAGGAGGGAGGAGGGAGGGAGGAGGAGTAAGGGGAGAAGGGGAGAAAAGGACAAGAAGACAAGGAGAAGAGATAGTACACTCCATCGCTTGACCAAGGCCTGCCGATCGTGTCGGTCGGCTGGGATATGTTCACACGGCGACCGTTATTGCCTCACGGGTTCCCCGCGCGAGCAGCGCGGTCCTGCGCGCATCGCCGCCGTGGGATGTCTAGGCAAGACGAGGGGAGAATACTGACACATTGGTCGCGAACAACCACCCCGTGAGCTGGTGGGTCTCTGTCTGTCTGTCTGTCTGTCTGTCTGTCTGTCTGTGCCTGTCTCTGTCCGTCTGTGTGTGTCTCTCTCTCTCTCTGCCTAGGACGAGGCCGAGGAGGAGCAGGAAAAGGAGATGGTAGCACAATGCCAGCCCGACAAATGGTTCTCGCTTCGCTTCGCATAACTTGGCCACCGTTTGTAGAGGCAAACCGCGTACCCGGTGTATCGCAAGACCCCTCAACATAAACCGCGCGCGAGAAGCTATGTCAGATACCGCGGCGGTTCTGGCAATGGCTCAGGAACAATCTGCTTCGGCGAATTAGCGAATAACATGTTTCCTGAGGTTGCCTGATCTGATCAATGCGTCCCTGTAACGACTGTGCGGCATACTTGACGTATTTGTGGGGGGATGCTGCGTGGGTCAAGGGGGCCAACCCGCAAATGGGTGTCCAAGCGTCGCTGCTTAGAAGAAGACGGCTCCCGTATGTTTGAATGCGAGCGGCTCCTGATACGTATCAAATGTGTCGGGGTTAGTCCGTTGGGCAAAAACTGTTATTTCCAAATCTGGTGCACAAACTTCTCTCGCCCCTCGCAAAGAGGTAATGATTCCGACCAACGACGCGCACCAAAGCAATGCAGACGCGCCGGCTAGCCTGTGCCCAATCGTTTCAATCTGCTCCTCCAATGAGATTCGGCATCGGTGGAAATGGTTGATCCCGGGGGCCCGTCGTGAGTCGGGTGAAGGCGGCCGAGCTGGGTCGGGTGAAGATCTCAAATGGTTGCAGCGGCACGCGGCAGGCGCGGTGATTGCTGGCGTACAAGCTGACGGTCGCGATCGCGTCGAACACCGCGGGGCGCATTCGCCAACGGGGCCCGTTGATGCCTGAGATCGCCACCTGGACGTCCTTCTCATTCTCATTCGCCTGGGGTGCCCACCATGCTAAGGTGCCGAGAACCCTTGGTGGTCAATTACACGTGAGCTGCGGGTGCTTGCCAGCAGGGCGTTCAGCTGCCCCGCCGCGGCCTTCGCGAAATCGGCCGAGCGCTGGCAGTGGTAGCATCGAGCAGTGCCTGCGTGGTTGCGTCGCCAATCTTCAAGCACGGGTGGGTGCTGGCGGCGCTCGCTGGCTGCGACAGGCCGGCGGGGTCGGCCTGGCGGGCCGACCCACCAGCCCCCTAGCAGGAAGTGGTCGACGCTTGTGGCGCGGGGGCTTCTGGCGTCTCCTGGCCTGGAGCTCGCGGCCTGGCTGGCATCACCCTCCTCCTGGTCCCCCTGCCTCTCCTCCCCCTCTTCCTCCGCATCCTCGCTTCCGTGCTCCATTAAACCGCTCCTCCCGTTCCCCCTCTTTCTCATCCTCCTTCGCCTCCAATGCTCCCCTTCCTCCTCCTCCTCCTCCTCCTCCTCCTCCTCCTCCTCCTCCTCCTCCCTTCGCCTGTTCCTCTTCCTCTTCCCCCGTATCTTCCTCCTCTCTCTCCTCTTCAATGCTCTGCCCCCCTGTCTCCTCCCGCCTCCCATTCGTTCGTCGACCTGTAAGAAGCCCTACTAGAACATTTCTCCCGCCTCACTCCCCCTCCCTCCCTCCTCCGCCTCCTCAGCCTCCGTAAACAGGGGGCCAAGGCCACGGAGGCCTTGAACACGTGGCGGTCGTCGCACTGCCTCTCCTTGCGCCAGTAGGTGAAGTACCCGTTCGCCTTGAGCTGTATCTGCGGACCCCCCGAAGCCTCCCGGAGGGGAAGCGACGGAGGGAGGGAGAAGACGAAGGAGAGGAGGAGGTAACATGAGGTTGTGTGAAGAGTAAGGAAGAGGAAGAGGAGGAAGAACGAAAGAACACTAAATTACCCTGTGACGTACCCAACCCATTTGTATCAATGGAAACGAGGAGTTGGCCGAAACTTGTACGGACAATCAACTTGATGTGTAAGCTGCTTGGGAGGCGTCACTGTGCTGGGCCCCGCAAGCAGGCCTCGAAAGTGGCGACTGTTTCACAGATCGCAGCCCCCCCGGGATGGCGAGGTCTAATTTGAATCTGCGTGTGGCGTCACTGTGCTGGGCCCCCCAGCAGCCCTCGAAAGTGGCGACAGTTTCACAGATCGCAGCCCCACAGGGATGGCGAGGTCCAATTTGAGTCTGCGGTGAGTACCCACTGTGCTGGGCCCCTCAGCAGCCCTCGAAAGTGGCGACAGTTTCACAGATCGCAGCCCCCCAGGGATGGCGAGGTCCAATTTGAGTCTGCGGTGAGTACCCACTGTGCTGGGCCCCCCAGCAGGCCTCGAAAGTGGCGACAGTTTCACAGATCGCAGCCCCCCAGGGATGGCGAGGTCCAATTTGAGTCCGCGGTGAGTACCCACTGTGCTGGGCCCCTCAGCAGCCCTCGAAAGTGGCGACAGTTTCACAGATCGCAGCCCCCCAGGGATGGCGAGGTCTAATCTGAGTCTGCGGTGAGTACCCACTGTGCTGGGCCCCTCGAGTGGCGACAGTTTCACAGATCGCAGCCCTGGCGAGGTCCCAGTACCCACTGTGCTGGGCCCCTCAGCAGCCCTCGAAAGTGGCGACAGTTTCACAGATCGCAGCCCCCCAGGGATGGCGAGGTCCCATTTGAGTCTGCGGTGAGTACCCACTGTGCTGGGCCCCCCAGCAGGCCTCGAAAGTGGCGACAGTTTCACAGATCGCAGCCCCCCAGGGATGGCGAGGTCCCATTTGAGTCTGCCGTGAGTACCCACTGTGCTGGGCCCCCCAGCAGGCCTCGAAAGTGGCGACAGTTTCACAGATCGCAGCCCCCCAGGGATGGCGAGGTCTAATTTGAATCCGCCGTGGTACCACTGTGCTGGGCCCCCCAGCAGGCCTCGAAAGTGGCGACAGTTTCACAGATCGCAGCCCCCCAGGGATGGCGAGGTCCCATTTGAATCCGCCGTGGGTACCCACTGTGCTGGGCCCCCCAGCAGGCCTCGAAAGTGGCGACAGTTTCACAGATCGTGGCGAGGTCCCAAAGGTGCTGGGCCCCCCAGCAGGCCTCGAAAGTGGCGACAGTTTCACAGATCGCAGCCCCCCAGGGATGGCGAGGTCCCATTTGAATCCGCCGTGGGTACCCACTGTGCTGGGCCCCCCAGCAAGCAAAAAACCAAATAAACATGATAAGACAAGGGAACACACAAATGTAGAAGCAAATGGAACACAAACAATGGAACGCGCGTGAACCAGCATGGGCATGACCGGAAACCAAAACACGGAACGCGCCGGGGCCGGAACCCACAAAAACATTACCAATGGTCGGAACAACTACTAACCTAAAAACCGGAAAACGCAAACGGGAAACCGGACTACGGAATGCAACACACACAATAAACACAAAACGGTCACCAGGAACCTGAAACCGAACATCGGGAAACAGAAAACAAGAAAAAGGCACAGAAAACGGAACACGGACAAGGGAGCCGCCACCGTGCCTGCACGATGTGGGCGTGTGTGAGAACGCCAGGTGCTGCTCTGTAGTGCTTTTTCTTCTATTCTAGCAAGGTCCCCCCTCTACCACCAGACTGGGGCATGCACCCCCCTGCCCCCGAGGACAAGATCCTTAATAAAAGACGATGGATTCGCGCTCCCGAGGCCAGGGCTGGACCTAAACGTTGTGTTTCCCAACCAACCTGGGTTGTTGGGTCCTCGTTTTGAAGAGGCAGCGCCGCGCGCCCCTCCTACTCCTCCTCCCGCTGCCCCCCCTCCCTCTCCCCATCATCAGCATCACCGTCACCATCACCGTCACCATCATTGTCATCATTCATCATTCATCATTCATCATTCATCATCATCATCATCATCATCATCATCATCATCATCATCATCATCATCATCATCATCATCATCATCATCATCATCATCATCATCATCATCATCATCATCATCATCATTCATAATTTCGGCACACCCCTCACACGGTTCGTGGCCCATAGGGAGCTCCATCGAAGGTCCCAATGGGTGCGTCCGCATGGGTCACCGCCACCCGTTACGGGACACCCCTCACACGGTTCGTGGCCCCATAGGGAGCTCCACCGAAGGCCCAAATGGCTGCGTCCTCATGCGTCACCGCCACCCAATTCGGCACACCCTTCACACGGTTCGTGGCCCCATAAGGAGCTCTACCGAACGCCCCAATGATTGCGTCCTCATGCGTCACCGCCACCCATTACGGGACACCCCACACGGTTCGTGGCCCCATAGGGAGCTCCACCGAAGGCCCCAGTGGCTGCGTCCGCACGGTTCGTGGCCCCATAGGGAGCTCCACCGAAGGCTCCAGTGGCAGCGTCCGCATCACCGCCACCCAGGACAGCGTTTCGTGGCCCCATAGGGAGCTCCACCGAAGGCTCCAGTGGCAGGGTCCGCATGCGTCACCGCCACCCAGGACAGCGTTTCGTGGCCCCATAGGGAGCTCCACCGAAGGCTCCAATGGCAGGATCCGCATGCGTCACCGCCACCCAGGACAGCGTTTCGTGGCCCCATAGGGAGCTCCACCGAAGGCTCCAGTGGCAGCGTCCGCATGCGTCACCGCCACCCAGGGACAGCGTTTCGTGGCCCCATAGGGAGCTCCACTCAAGGCTCCAGTGGCAGGGTCCGCATGCGTCACCGCCACCCAGGACAGCGTTTCGTGGCCCCATAGGGAGCTCCACCGAAGGCTCCAGTGGCAGGGTCCGCATGCGTCACCGCCACCCAGGACAACGTTTCGTGGCCCCATAGGGAGCTCCATCAACGGCTCCAGTGGCAGGGTCCGCATCATCGCCACCCAGGACAGCGTTTCGTGGCCCCATATGGAGCTCCACCGAAGGCTCCAGTGGCAGGGTCCGCATGCGTCACCGCCACCCAGGACAGCGTTCCGTGGCCCCATAGGGAGCTCCACCGAAGGCTCCAGTGGCAGCGTCCGCATGCGTCACCGCCACCCAGGACAGCGTTTCGTGGTCCCATATGGAGCTCCACCGAAGGCTCCAATGGCAGCGTCCGCATGCGTCACGGCCACCCAGGACAGCGCTTCGTGGCCCCATAGGGAGCTCCACCGAAGGCTCCAGTGGCAGGGTCCGCATGCGTCACCGCCACCCAGGACAGCGTTTCGTGGCCCCATAGGGAGCTCCACCGACGGCTCCAATGGCAGGGTCCGAATGCGTCCGCGCCACCGATTTCGGCGCACCCCTCGCACGCTTCGTGGCCCCATAGGGAGATCCACCGAAAGCGGTACCCACAATGAGGCACTCGCAGTAGCATTGGTTGGGTCCTTCGTCAGGCTAATTCGTTCTGGTTTCGTTTTGATCCCAACCATCCTGTGGTGTTGGCTCTTCGTTCTGAACAGACAGCGCCCCGCGTCTCCTTCTTCCTTTCCTTCCTCCTCCCTCCTCCCCCTCCTCCCTCCTTCCTGCGTTTCACCCACCCAGTACAACGTTTCGTGGCCTCATGAGGGGCTCCACCGAATGGCCCAGTGCCACCGCCCGCATGCGTCACCCACACCAATTTCGGCACACCCCTCATACCAGTCGTGGCCCCATAAGGAGCTCCACCGAAGGCCCCAGTGCCACCGCCCGCATGCGTCACCCACGCACATTTCGTCACACCCCTCACACGTTTCGTGGCCACATGGGGAGCTCCACCGAAGGCCCCAGAGCCACCGCCCGCATGCGTCACCCACACCCATTTCGTCACACCCCTCACACATTTCGTGGCCCCATCGGGAGCTCCACCGAAGGCCCCGGTGCCACCGCCCGCATGCGTCACCCACACCCATTTCGGCACACCCCTCACACGTTTCGTGGCCCCATAGGGAGCTCCAACGAAGGCCCCAGTGCCACCGCCCGCATGCGTCGCACCTCTCACACGTCTCGTGGCCCCATAGGGAGCTCCAACGAAGGCCCAAGTGGCTGCTTTCGCATGCGCCCACCGGACAAATTTTGGCAAACCCCTCACACGTTTCGTGGCCCCATAGGGAGCTCCACCGAAGGCCCCAGTGCCACCGCCCGCATGCGTCACCCAGACCCATTTCGTCACACCCCTCACACGGTTCGTGGCCCCATAGGAATGGAGCTCCACCGAAGGCCCCTGTGCCACCGCCCGCATGCACGTTTCGGCACACCCCTCACGCGTTTCGTGGCCCCAGAGGGAGCTCCACCGAAGGCGCCAGTGGCTGCATTCGCATGCTCACCGCACACATTTCGGCACCGCCTCAGTGGCTGCGTTCGCATGCGCCCACCGCACATATTTCGGCACAACTCTCACGCGTTTCGTGGCCCCATTGGGAATTCCACGGACGGCCCAAGTGGCTGCTTTCGCATGCGCCCACCCGACAAATTTTGGCACACCCCTCACACGTTTCGTGGCCCTATAAGGAGCTCGTCCGAATGCGGTGCATACAACGACGGTACTCACAACAGCATATGGTTGGGTCCTTCGCCAGGCTAATTATTCGTTTGCTGTACCTGTTCTCCTGTACCTTCCTGCCAAAACGAAAAACAAAACACAGCCGAAGTCCAGCAACATAGCGTTCAGGTCCAGCCCTGCCCGATGCCACGATGCCACGAACAAGAGCTATGTGCCTGCGTTCCAAGCTTCCAAGACGGCCCGGGCCGGCAACCAAGGCAACCAAGATGGCCCAATATACCTCGAAGGCGGGCCAAGATGGCATCAAGGCGGGTGAATATGGCTTCAAAACGGCCTAGGGGGCTTCCAGGCGGGC